GAAATTGAAGAGATCTGTTTAAAAGATATAATCAATAATTCCTGGACTTTCTTGGAATTGAAGAAAAATCTACTCAAGATTATATATTGACTGAGATAATCGAAGCTTGTAGAGTTGAAGAAGAAATTATCAAGCAATCATAATCAATGCTTTCTAAGTCGGAAAAAGAAAAAATAAGTAAAATATCGTCCCGGCAACCGAGCAAGGGCTGTCGAAAATGGTATGTACTGTTGTCACATTTCCCTAGAATTTTAGGTTTATTTAAAGATGGTTTTTTTTTTTAATTTGAGTGGTTGATGAATTATAAAACGCATCTGTCATAATAGTTAGATCATTGAAATCGTGGAAAAAATTAAAAAAAAACTTCAAACCCTTCAACATGTGCACGGAAGAGGACAGAGCAGAAACGGACTTCGTACTGGCCTTACCACACACGAACCTCAGCCAGCTGGAGCCTGTCTCGGAGATAGAGGTCAAGGAGGAGGTGTCAGGCCTCAACACCAATAAATCTCCGGGTGCAGACGGGATAGAGGCACTCGCTGTCAAGCTTCTCCCACCTTCAGGCATAAGGAGGCTCACGAGGATATACAATGCGTGCCTAGAGAGTGGACACTTCCCCACTTGCTTGAAATAGGCGGAGGTCATCCTGATCCCTAAGCCTGGAAAGCCTGAAACTAATCTCGCCTCATACAGGCCGATTAGTTTACTGTCTGTAATCTCCAAAATACTCGAGAGAGCATTTTTGCGCAGATTGCAGACAGAACTGGACGAGGCTGGTTTGAAAGCAGATCACCAGTTTGGCTACAGGCGCTCCCACTCCACCCCCGAGCAATGCCACAAGACCGTGGCAAAAATCCTGGACAGCTTGGAAGTAAAACAATACTGCTGTGCTTTCTTTCTGGATGTCAAGCAGGCGTTTGACAGGGTCTGGCACCCTGGGCTGAGAGCGAAGCTCAAGAGGAACCTGCCACAAAAGTACTACGAGTTCCTCAACTCGTACTTGACCGACAGGAAGTTCAGGGTCAGAAGCGGAGATGCGAGATCTGAGTACAGGCCCATTGTAGCTGGAGTTCCGCAGGGCAGTGTACTTGGCCCCATTCATTATACCATGTACACAGCCGACATGCCTGTCGCTGAAGAGGAGGGCCCTCTAGCCGCTACATATGCAGATGACACGGCATTTTTGGCCTCTGCAACCTCGCCAGAGGAGGCTTCTGCATGTCTCCAACGCCAGCTGGACATCCTCGACCCGTGGCTTCGAAGGTGGAACATTGCCGTTAACCACGAAAACGACGCCCAAACGACGTTCACACTGAGGAGAGGCGACTGTCCTGGAGTCAGTCTCGGAGGCACTCTAATTCCAGCAATATCTGGGTATGACCCTGGACAGAAGGCTTACCTGGAGAACCCACTTGCTGCGCAAACGGAAGCAACTCCAGGACAAGCTGTGTCAGCTTTACTGGCTGATTGGAAGGAGGTCCAGGCTGAAGCTAAGAGTAAAGCTCCTTATATACAAGACCATCGTAAAGCCAGTCTGGACCGATGGTATCCAGTTATGGGGAACGGCGTGTCTAAGCAACCGAAGGATCATCCAGATCGCCCAAAACAAGGCCCTAAGAACTTTAGCTGGAGCTCATCCGTTCCACGACAATGCGATTCGCCAACAGGTACGGGGAAAGGCTGGACCGACATCCTAACCCTGAGGCCATCAATCTTCTGGACAACAGCTAAGGCTTACTGTTAAAATTAGTTTCCTAGGATAAGCAAACATTGTACTACTCAATATTTCATTAAGTTAAGGTCCTAGTATAAAATTTAATTATTGTCCATAACTCCGAACAGATTTTAAATATAACTATTGATTGATAAATAATGAAAAACCGCTGCAATAATCCGCACCGCTGCTCGACGAGGTACTCCATCCTTCCCGGTGAACACCTCTTCCACGGCGCCTCGTTTCCATTCCCTTCGTGGTGTGGCAGGATCGCAGATGAATACCAGGTCTCCTCGACGGATGGGCTCAACGCGCTTGCACCATTTCTCCCTGCGCACAAGAGTTGGCAGGTACTCATGCACCCAACGCTTCCAGAAGCGATCGCGCATCATCCTTGCTATGCGCCACTGCTTCCTAGTAGCGGATCACACGGGCTCCTGTCCATCATCCTTGGGGAGATCTGGGATATCCGATGCTCCTTTCAGCAAATCGTTAGGCGTCAGTGGAGCCTCCTGGTCCACCGTCACCGGTAGATGAGTGAGCGGACGAGAGTTTACGATGCTCTCCGCCTCAATCAGCAGGTTCTCCAGTACATGCTCCATGGGCTCGAGCTCCTTCATTGTGTGCGCCAGCACCTTCTTCACGCACTGCACCATCCTCTCCCAGGCACCGCCTTCAGCTGGGTTCGCCGGGCAGTTGAAGATCCATTCGACTCCCTTAGACGAGAGCTCACCCTGGATCTGTGCAGGCTCGAACACTTCGCTGAACCTCTTGGCCTCGCGGTCGGCTCCAACGAAGTTCTTCCCATTGTCGCTCCTTATCCTGACCACTGGTCCACGGCGGCTCATGAAGTTCCTCATGGCGATTATGCAGGAGTCGGTGGACAAATCGTGAGCCATCTCCAAGGGTCGTGCCTTCCGCAGCTTGCAAACGTTGCATTTGCTCACCACCCTCCGTAGCAGTCTCCGCAAGTTCGTTATCCAGAACTTGCTCCGAATCGATCCGATCGTCGCCTCCGCGTTTTGGTGGCACATCTTTTCGTGGTGTTGCTGCACGATCATCTCTGCCAGTGCCTCCTCGTGAGACAGTATGATAGGCCGACGTGCGTTGTATGGCACACACGTCGCGTCGTCGATCCTTCCACTGGCTCTCAATACTCCGTCCTCGTCAAGGTATGGGGACAGTCCGTCCAGTCGGCTGTCCTTGGCGACGTTTCTCGCTGCGACTGCCGTATCAATGCGCGCTCTGCTTCAGCGCACTCCATCGCGGTCAATCCGTAGACCTCTTCATCGCGACGTATTCCACGGCATCGTCGAACAAATCTGAGCGCCCACGCAGTCGTCCTCACCAGTCGATTATAGCTGGAGAACCTCTGCAGGGATATAAAGTTTACCGTGACCAAGGCAAACTCACATTTCATTTCCTCGTCGTCGGTCGTCGGAGGAATCCAGTCCTCGCTCGATCTCGGCCAGCTCTCCTCTGGTCTTCGTAGAAACGGCGGTCCGCTTAGCCATCGCGAACTGATGCTCAGGTCCACGGCCTTGCGCGGCCTTGTCGCGCGCCACGTTTTCGGCGGACGGGATCCATCTCCACTGGGACGCCTCTGTCGATTCCAAAATCTCCGCCACTCGGTTTCCGACGAACTGTTTGTATCTCCGGTGGGTGTTGCTTATCCAGTGCAACACAGTCTTGGAGTCCGTCCATAGCGCACAGCTGCTGATCGCCACACCGTGCTCCTGCTTGACGGTGTCCATCAATCTCGTGCCCAATACCGCTGCTTGGAGTTCCAGTCGCGGGATCGACATGGTCCTCATCGGGGCGCATTTCGTTTTGGAGCTTATGAAGTGCGCCTGCACGTCTCCGTTCTCGTACGTGGCCCGCCAGTAGGCCGCTGCTGCGAACGCCGATTGACTGGAGTCCACGAAGATGTGCAGCTGTAGCGTCCGCACTCGTCCGCCGCCAAAGTAGTGCACACTGGGGAATTTGCCCTGTTTTTGTGGCATTAATTAATAACTTAAAATCAAATCAATATATTTAAATTCTGTTTTTTGAATTAAGTTAATAATAAAGAAATGAAGATATTTTGAGAAAATGGGCGTGGTACCGCCTTTTTTAACCCATTTTTTATTTTTATTTTTTTCTTTTTATGGCAATAATGCTAGTTTTATGCATTTTGTAAAAAAATGGGCTTATTCGAACTTATTTCTTGCGGGAAATCGCAGAAAATTCGGTCAGTTTCTGTGGCATTAATTAAAAACTTAAAAACGAGGCAAGATATTTGTTTGGTGTTTATTTATAGTGCTATACAAGTTTTTGACAAGTTTTTGAAGCAAAGTAGGCGTGTCCCACCCCCTCCCCAACTTGTTTTTTTGGCCAAACACTTCCAGCAGCACCGCAATTCTGATTGTAACATTCCTTCCTAAAAATTGGAATTTCGCAATAAGGCGCAAAAAGGCGCAATTGAACCTAGGGTGTTCTGAATTAAGAATTAATGACTCTACAACATGGGTATAGTCCAGAGGTCGGCACGGCCCTATCTCGGGGGCATAGGAAATTTCTCTGCCCGAGCTCTGCCACACACACAGTATAAATGTGTGAAACGTCATGCTCACAGCCTACTTTCTGCTATACGTTACTAACACTAATGCGGTAAAATCATATCAATGTATTGGGGTGCCGATCACTGGTATAGTCACTACTTTATCGAATCTAAACATTTTTTTAAAACTCTTCCCAAAGTTGAACTTTCATTACGAAAGTTTTGTCCGGACACCACTTGCTTTAATTACAAATTCTTAGAAAGACATGCAAAAATTTGGCAAAATATTAGTATTAACAAATAGTATAAGCCTGGAGCATGACTATCCATTTTAAATTTTATTGATTTGTGCTTCGACGTTCAAGAAATATTAATTTGAAAACACACTACAAAATGAAGCCAAATGCAAACACGAAACGTCATTTCCCAACAGCTGACTTTAATCGCTGGTATTTTAATACTGGACTGAAAAAATACCATTTTTGGTATGTAACATACAATTTTGATTTATTTTTAATACGGTAACACTAAAATATCAAAAATTTTAAAACTTTTAAAAAACACATTTATGCCACAAAAACTGGGCAAATTCCCCAGTGTGTAGTGGCGCGGGCATCGGAACTCCTGGATCCGACTCATCCCTTGCCGCCAATCCTCGAAGGCTGCGGCCAATTCATCCGGTAGCGGCTCGTCACAGTTGACTCCTTTCCGCCAAATCTCCCTCAGCAGCAGTTTGGCAGTCACCATTTAGCAGCTCAGGAACCCAATCGGGTCAAACGTAGACATCACCAGGCTTAGGAACTTCCTCTTGGTAGGGACTCGTTGCTCCGTCATCACGTTCCTCGGGACTCGATGGTACTTGACGCCGAACTTGAAATCATCGGTAGCCGGCTGCCAGTACATCCGAAGCACCTTCTCCTCAGCTTCGGTCCATCCGACGCTGGCGATGGACTCAAGTGGGTTCAGCGCTCTGACCACACTTGCCGATCTGGAGGTAAATCGGCACAAATCAAAACCTGCTTCAGCGTGAATTTCCCTCACCCGTGTCGAGATGACGATAGCTTCGTCCTCACTGGCGAAACTGTCGACGTAGTCATCCACGTAGTGGTATTCGTTGATGGCCAGGGCTGCTCGCGGGTCCGTGCTGCTATACCGCAAGGCATTCACGGTCTTCACGTAGTCCGCCGAACATGGTGAGCAGGCCGCTCCGAACATCATCACTGCCATCTCGTATACGTCCGGCTCTCGCTGGTCGTCTCCGTCCCTCCACAGAAACCTCTGGGCGCATCTGTCCTTCGGCTGCATCAGTACCTGATGAAACATCTCCTTGATGTCTGCACATACTCCAACCGCTCCTTCCCGAAAATGGAAGAGCACTACTGGGAGGGGCTTGTAGCGCTGTGGGCCTTTCAGTAGCGCTGAATTCAAAGACACACCGTCCACCTTGGCAGCCGCATCGAAAACCAGCCGGATTTTCTCAGGCTTGTTCGAGTTTTCCACTCCGAAGTGCGGCAGGTACCACACTTTGCCCTCCTGAAACCTCTGGACTTCCTGGGCCTCCAGTCGTCGTGCGTATCCCTTCTTGACATAATCGTCCATTATCCGGATGTAAGCCGACGCGAAGTCCACATCGCGCTTCATTTTACGCTCTATGTTGACGAGCCTCCCGAGGGCCATGCTGTAGCTCTCCGGAAATCTCACTTCGTCGTCCTTCCATAGCAGCCCGGTCTCGTATCTCTGGCCTACACGTTTGTTCGTCTTCTCCAGGGTGCTCAGGGCCCGTGCGTCGCCGCTATCTCCGACTGACGGCTCCAGGTCCACTCTGCCAGCTGCGACTGGCTGCACCGGCTTTGCTCCGAAATTCTCGGTCTCGAAGTAGTCGCTGACCATCTTCTCCAGAAGATCATCCTGGGGCACGGCTAGGAGGCACGAACTCAGAAGCGGCGAGCTCGGCTTTCCGTTCACCGGTCCATATATCACCCATCCAAGTGCGGTGTCTGCTGCAAACGGCCCTCCAGATCCATAACTTTTGGTTCTGAAGGGTACTCCTAAATACGCATGATCCAGTCCAATTAGGATCCTCGGCGTCGCATTGTTGTACGGCATCACCGGCAGACGCGTGTTCGCCTTCACTGCCTGTACATCCTCCTGACGCAGGCGCTGCATCGGAAGGTTCAGATTGGCCACTCCGTACACATTTTTCAGCCCATGGCGCTTTGGGTTGCCCGCTGCGCTGATCTGCAGGCTGACCACCTTCGTGTGCTCTTTGGCGGATTTTCCACCAAACCATTGCACATTCCGCTGTCGACTCTCGCCTTTCAGGTTCCGGCTGCGGATGAGTTCGTCGTCGATGAGTGTGACAGACGATCCTTCATCCAGCAGTACGTACGTGTCGACCTTCGTATTCTCGTCGTACAGCTTCACGGGTAGAATCCTGAACAGCAGGTGGCATCCAATTGAGTCGATGCTGAGGTTTCGGTGCGGCAACTCCTGGCGATCGTACGCCGATCGCCCTTCATCCCGCTCACGTCGCGCGTCTACAACTGCGGCCGACGTAGGATGGTTCCTTTAGCTGAAATCCACTGCCGTCTCTGTATGGCTGTCGGTCCTGAGGTAGGGAGTGGCCCCCATCTGCGACTGGCGGCCGTTTGGATCGTTCAGGTACTTCGTGGAGCAGGTGGTGATGCCTCATCTGGCATCCGAGGACGTTGCATCCGCGGCTCTTCCTGCAGAACCGGGACATGTGTCCGGGATCCAGGCACGAGAAGCACAGTCGTCGCTTTCTCGCGGACTCGATCCGTGTCGTTGTAGAGGCGCTCATGAAATCCCTCCAGTCCCTGACCTGGTGCTGTCCCTCGCATATAGGGCAGCATCTGGGGCGGTCGACATATCGCTCCTCCTCGCGAACACTATTCGCGTGCAGAATCCTTCGCTTCGGTTGTTCCCTGGCTCCGGCGTCCGTGACAGTGCACACCAGTTTGGCGAATTCATGGAGCCACTCGCTCAGGCGCGCCACCGTCGGATACGGCTGTATCGTGGCCGCGTGCCTTGCCCAGTCCAACCTCTTGCTTAGCGGCAACTTGGCTATCAGCTTCTCCATTAGGGTTGGGTTGGCCTCCTGAATCGGCTGTACTTCGCGCTTGCTCTCCAATTGGCTGCGGATCAGTTGTTCCGGGCGTCCATACCGGAATCGTAGCTGCTCCATAACAGCTTGTACGTTGCTGGGATGGATGAGCAACGACTTCACTGTTTCGCGAGCCTCTCCCTTCAGGGCTTTCACTAGCTTCTGGTTGTTCTCCAACTCGGTGCACTGGTAGGCTGCAGTTGTCTCCGTGAACGCACACAGGAATATTGGCCATTCCTCTGGCTGACCCTCGAAATCGGGAAGATCAGTTAGTCTGCGTGGCGTCCATCCTTGTATGCTTGTCGTCGGCGCTCCATATGATATGGGCGATGGCGCAGGTACCTCTGGGTGAACATAACCTAGCACCGGCTGTGCTGCGGCGGTCACACAAGATGGCGGAGAATAGCCCAGTATTGTTGTTGTTGACACAGGTTGCCCGCTTGCCCAATGGCCGCCAAGCGTCGGCGCCAAATTCGCACCCCATTGTGGCGGCAAATTTGCACTCACTTGTGCCGGCAACTGCAGCGATGGCGTCACTCCGAGATCCGTTTGCAGATTGTCTCTCATCTGCCTGGGCAGGTTTTCGCTCAAACTCTGCCGTGGCGCTGCTCCATGATGTGGCAGCGTTCCACTCGAACATGGCGGTGTATTCGTTGCACCGCTTACTCCAACGCCGCGTGCCCTGATTCTAACGGGATCTCTGGCGGCCTCTGCTTGTCCTCCACTTGCTCTTGCCTTCGCCAGCTCCGACTCCAGACGTGCGATCCTTTCCATTAAGGTCGCCACTACAGTTGTGGAATCCGTAGTCTGCCCCGTCGCTTCGGGCTGCAGGTTACTTGCCGCTTTCCTGGCGTCTGTTCTACTTTCCTTCGGAGTCTGTGGCCTCTGCCGATCACCAGCCACACTCGCAAAGCTGGTCGCGGTGCCAGTTGCTGTGGCCGTGGTGGTCGCAGTTGCGGGAACGCCCGAGGCTTCCAGCCTGGGGCTCCGCCTGGGTGAGTGCTTCGTGGGCATCATCTTGCAGAGTGCGAATAAAAGAATTTGTCACCGCTTGGCCGATCACGGGAATGCCTTATAACACTCAGATAGGACAGTTGTTGAAGTGATGTGGTGTGTAACGAGCGTTTTATTCTACAAGACAATTGTTCTTAACCTGATACATAATAACTTATCCTACATACCGCAGTTTCTCTTCCCCTTTCTGTGATAGCGCAAATCGATGTGCTTTATCCGCCAAATTATTTCTTCCAAGCTACCCGATTGAGTGTGAACAGATAACATTAACTTAAAACCCTAAACATACAAAATACTGACATCTGACACCTAACACTAATCTCAACTATCGATAGCCACTAGTTCGTTCCGCGACAGTTTTTATTGCATATATCGATTATTGCGATATATCTAAAATAATTAGACACATATATTTTCTTTTTGCTTTATCTCGTAAATGGACTGAAATACAGCGTTTTTAAAAGTACAACATTATGACGTCTATAACATTATGAATTTTTTGAAAAATAATTGATACATGTATCGTCCAATTTCGTTTCATTCTTCATGCAAATTCCCAATTATCGCTACAGTTGGACAAGAATCCGGTTCTTAGCTCGCTATTCTGGTATTACACGATCGTATAAATTTTCGCAATTTTTCATTTTGAGTGCAGCACTTCTTTAAGGATTTTAAAAATTTAAGATTCAGACAATATGAATTTGTAGTAGAGAATTTTTCAATATCTTACCTTCTGAATCCTAAAGTTATTATTAAAATTATGAATTCTTACGAGAATAAAAAGTTTTTAAGAAAAATTACGGAAATGTTGATATTAAACTAAATTATTCCGTCTATGGTATTTCTTTTTGACTATTTTTATACCCTTGCAGAGGGTATTATAATTTTGTCCAAAAGTGTGCAACGCCTCCTGAGTTGATATAAGCATGTCCGTCTGTCCGCCTGTCCGTCGGTCCGTCTGTCTGTCTGTTTCTACGCGAACTAGTCTCTCAGTTTTAAAGCTATCGTCTTGAAACTTTGCACACACCCTTTTCCTTTGCACGCAGTATATAAGTCGGAACGGCTCGGATCGGCCGACTATATCCTATAGCTGCCATACAACTGATTGATCGGAAATGGTATAACTTTAGTGTCTTAAATATTAGATAGTTCAAATTTGACATGAGAGCTACTTTTGGCAAAATAATACGACATGCCAAATTTCGTAAGGGTCGGCCGACTATATCCCGTAGCTGCCATATAACTGAACGATCGGAAATAACCCAACTTTCGTGTTTTTGAATATAGAAAGCTGGAACTTGGTACAGATTATATTTTTGGTCAGTTAATCTTACCTACCAAATTTTATAACGATCGGCTGATCTTATAGCTGCCATATAACTGAACGATCGGAAATGGTTTTTGGTAGAAATACCAACTCTGGTATTTTTGAAGTTAGAAATTTGGGATTTTTTTTAGATTCTATATAATAATATCTTGAGTTATATTATCATATTCTCATAAGGATCGGCCAACTATATACGATGTTTGCGATATATATCCGGTTTTAACTGCAAAGGTATATCAACTTCGGCTCCGCCCGAAGTTAGCTTTCCTTTCTTGTTTTTCATAAATTTCACTATCATGTAGGAAGACGATGCCACGAAAAAAAGCAGAAAAAGGCTGGCTTCGAAAACTATCGACTCGTATTTCTCCAAGCGTGCCAAGTTCGAAACTATCGTTTTAAAAAATGTAACTGATGTTATAACAGAAAATTCTGATTCATTTATTAGCAATTTCGTTGAAAAAATCGAAAAAAAAACAAATTAATGATATAAATACAGTATCTTCTTCAATACGCCATCAAATTTGAATAGTCAAGTTTCTTCGAATCGTAATCGAACTACCGAACTGAGCGGACGCAATGAGCTCATTGAGCAACGACCAAAAGAACGAGCGTAGAAGTTCAGTGAACCAAAGAAACGGCTTCTACTCTTACTTTTCAACCCGCGATACCGAAGTGGAAAAATCGGCGCTTAAAAGCAACCCGGCTTTACTGACCGCTGAAACCCAAAGGGCACGGTCTTGCTCACCCGCTCTGCTCACTCCGACTCCCGCGTCATGGAGTTCGCAGTGTAAAACCCCCCCTCCAATATCGGAAACAAATTTCGCACCAACAACAAGCAGCGCTACAACTTCTGCAACAACAGCGAAAACCCCTGCAACTCAAAGTACCACGACGTCAACGACTACAGCGAGTACAAAAACAACAACCTCGGAAAGTGCCAAAGCGGCAACGGCCACACAGACTGGAATGGATCGCTACATCCAAATTAAGCGCAAGCTTAGCCCGCAGAGTAATCCGGCAGGCAACAAAACAAAAATTAACCGTGTCCTGAATAACGATAATGAACCAGACAGATCCACTACTAACAGATTTGCCCTACTGGCGGAGGCTGAGGAAAACCAACCAGCCCAAGACACCGCAAAAAAACCCAAACCCCCTCCAATCTATATTAGGGAAAAAAGCTCGAGTGCCCTGGTCAACAAAATTGCGTCGTTGATCGGGAACGGTGAAAACTTTCATGTTGTTCCGCTTATCAAAGGGAACATCCATGAAACAAAGGTGCAAACCAAGACTGAAGAGCACTTCCGAATAGTGTCAAAATATCTGGACACTGTACAGAAAAACTATTACACGTACCAGCTGAAAAGCAGTAAGGGCCTACAAGTGGTAGTAAAGGGAATAGAACCTGATGTTACCGCCGAGGAAATAAAAACCGCCCTTAAAGAAAAGGGCTTCGCCGCCAAGAATGTTATTAACATTCTAAATAAAGATAAAAAGCCACAACCCCTCTTCAAGGTCGAGCTCGAGCCTGAAAGCAGGTCGCTGAAGAAGAACGAAGTCCACCCAATCTACAACCTGCAATATCTTTTGCATCGGAAAATCACTGTTGAAGAGCCACATAAACGTAACGGTCCAGTGCAATGCACTAATTGTCAAGAGTATGGACACACAAGGTCTTACTGCACACTTCGGGCTGTCTGTGTAGTCTGCGGGGACGCCCACAAGTCCGCTTGCTGCACTACAAACAAGGACAGTACCGTGAAGAAATGTGGAAACTGCGGAGGCAGCCATACGGCGAACTATAGAGGATGTATTGTGTATAAGGAGTTAAAGAGTCGCATGCGTCAAGCGACCGCAACGCGCAACCAAAATCCACAGAATGCGTACGTTTCGTCAAAAACCACGCCAGACGTCTTCTTCGCCAAAGCTGCGAGATCCTCATTCGGTCCACTAAACACCACCAACGGCTTCTCCTATGCCGATGCTCTACGATCTGGAAGGGAAATTCCAATTCAGCCTAACTCTCAAAGCGCTCAACAGGCCCCAGAACAGCCACACAGCAAAACGGAAACTATGATGCTTACCCTCCAACAAAGTATGATGGAGCTTATGTCATTCATGAAAACGACCATGCAAACGCATGTTCAAAACCAGAACATGGTGATACAGCTGCTCGTAGCACAACAGTCCAAATAATCTATGCAGGCGCTACGAATATCAATGTGGAACGCCAATGGTGTCTCACGGCATAAACTAGAATTGTCACAATTCTTGACCGAAAACCATATTGACGTTATGCTACTGGTGGAAACGCATCTTACAAGCAAATACAACTTTCATATAAGAGGCTACACAATCTACCGCACAGATCATCCAGATGGGAAAGCCCACGGCGGAACTGGAGTTCTAATCAGAGAACGAATTAAACACCATTTTCACAAAAGGTTTGCAACAAACTTCTTGCAGGCCACATCGATACAAATTCAGTCAAGCAACGGAATCCTTTCAATTGCTGCCGTTTACTGCCGTTTACTGGACTACGTTTCCCCTGGAAGTCCCACATACTGGCTAACAGACTCACGAAAGCTCCCAGACCTTATTGATTTTGCAGTGACAAAAAACATACCTCGCAATCATCAGACCACTCGCCTGTGCTTCTAACGCTTCTTCAAAGCCCAGAAATAACCGAACACCCCTTCAGTCTGACGACGACAAAAACAAACTGGCTAAAATACAAAAAGTACGTGAGTGCCCACATAGAACTCGCCCCGGATTTTAACATGGAATCGGACATCGACTACACTACGAGCGCCCTGGAAGAAGTACTCGTTGCGGTAGCTAAAATCTCTACTCCTCATAGGAAAGAAGTAGACCGAAACAAACACTTCAAATCTAATCAGCAAATCGAACAGCTCGTGCGAGAAAAGAGGCGCACGCGTCGTGATTGGCAAAACAGCAGATCACCAGCTTCAAAACAACGCCTTAAGGAAGCAACCCGATCACTCGACCAGGCTCTTCACCAACAGGAAGAAAATGCACAGCTGAGGTACATCCAGAATCTCTCGCCAACAAGCACAAAGTACCCCCTGTGGAGGGCCCACCCAAATCTTAGTGCCCCAATTGAAACGACCACCCCGATAAGAAACTCTTCGGGATGCTGGGCTCGCAGCAACGAAGACCGAGCTGAAACATTCGCCACACATCTCCAAAGTGTCTTCCAGCCAAACCCAGCCTCAAATTCATTCCTCCTGCCAGTAATTCAGCCAGAGTCCTCCCCTCAGCCAGCCGCACCTCCATTCCGGCCGAACGAAATCGAAAAAGTCATAAGAGGGCTAAAACCAAAAAAGGCTCCCGGTGGTGACCTATTGACCCCAAAGATGTTGATCGAACTTCCAAAATGCGCTATAGAGGTCGTCTGCAAACTATTTAATGGAATCATTAATCTTGGCTATTTCCCAAAAAAAGTGGAAGAAATCCATTATTATAATGATACCGAAGCCTGGAAAAGACCACACAATTCCGTCATCATACAGACCAATAAGCCTTCTATCTTGTTTGTCTAAACTGTTTGAAAAATGCTTGTTAACTCGCATAATACCACATCTGGAAGCTTGCAATATTATCCCGGCACACCAATTTGGCTTTCGAAGAAACCATGGAACCATCGAACAAGTGAACAGATTAACATCCGAAATACGCTCAGCCTTCGAACAACGAGAATACTGCAGCGCTATTTTCCTCGACGTATCTCAAGCTTTCGACCGAGTTTGGCTCATCGGACTCATGCACAAAATTAAAACGTATTTGCCAACATACACCCACAAGCTACTGGAACTATACCTCTTCAATAGGGTATTCTCAGTGAGATGCAACGCAGCTACTTCGGGCGACTACACCATCGAAGCTGGAGTTCCACAGGGAAGCGCACTCGGGCCGTGTCTATATGTTTTGTATACTGCGGATATTCCTACGATCGCACAACTAACAACGTCAACGTTCGCCGATGATACCGCT